ATGCTGTTTTCGCAGAAAGCTATTATGGAGTTGGAGAAAGGCTCACATTTTTACTTTACCTGCCTCTGTACCGTTTTACTTCCTTACACCTAAAGACGATAGAAAAGTTCTGTATCTTGATTTTGGTGGTCATTGAATGAATTTGAACATTTTTCAAAATTCAATGAACTATACCGTTTAAATTTGTCCATGACTTACTGTATGTAAATTTTACCTCAACAAGGTCAATTAAAAAAAAAAAAAAAAAGCAAACCAATGAGTGACACTCCAAGAGGAGTTTATGCTCCTCTGCTGTGGCTTGCTGCCCACTTGAGGTAGCCATGAGAAGCACTGAAGAGGGATAGAGCCTGGAGGGTCTGCCAGTCCATGCCAAGGGTAAGAAGGCCTGAGCTAATTAATGAGTGACAGGATGGACACCAAGGAGGGTTTGAAATCACCCTATAAACCGTTTGGATATGGGCTGCAGGTAGGGAATGTCAATTTCAGTCTAAGAGACATGGGAAACCACCAGTGACTTAGACAGTGGAGACTGAGAAGTGATCAGATTCTGGGTGTATTCCGGAAGGAAGCAGCTCTCAAAGCACCAGTTGATAAACTGAATGTGAGCTATGAGGGAAAGGAAGGAATAAAGGATGACTGCCAGGTTTGCAACAGAGCTAGTGTGGACTGCGGTGAATTTGAGGAGATGAGAAAGGCATGGGAGCAACAGATTTGGTAGAGGAAAGAGAAAGTCATTGCTTTTGTTTCAGTCATGTGATATTTGAGGTGCCTACTAGATGTCCAGGAGATAACAGCTACAAATAGAGGTGGGAGAGATATGGGTCCTCACCATTTTATAGAATGTATAATACATGGTATTAGAAGCCACAGAACTGGATGAGGCCATGCAGAAGTGAATGGAAATAAGTCCTTAATTTTTGAAATTAACACAATTTGAATATTGCTTAGAATCACAGGATTATTCCAAGTAAAGAACCAAGAAAAAAAAAAATCACAGGATTAGAGCTGGGTGCAGTGGCTCACGCCTGTCATTCCAGCACTTTGGGAGGCCGAGGTGGACGGATAAACATGAGATCAGGAGTTCGAGACCAGCCTGGCCAACATGGTAAAACCCTGTCTCTACTAAAAATATGAAAATTAGCTGGGTGTGGTGGTAGGTCCCTGTACTCCCAGCTGCTGGGGAGGCTGAGGCAGGAGAATCACTTGAACCTGGGAGGCAGGCAGAGGCTGTAGTGAGCTGAGATGATGCCACTGCACTCGAGCCTGGGCAACAAGAGTGAAACATCGTCTCAAAAAACAAAACAAAACAAAACAAAAACTGAAGTGACTATAGTCTGTCTTCCAATACTTAACTTTTAATAAACTAACCTGTTTTCCAAAGCAGCAGATTTTGACTCTGATTTAGCAATCCGGTACTGAGAATCTCATAACCCTCTTGCTGTTTTTAGTGCCAACTGTGATGACAAATGTCCATTTACACAACTAATTAAACGAAAAAAACTTCTAGGTAACATGGTCAAGATGCCACTTCTAAACAACCATCCTTGTCACTCTAGTTTTAATCCATATACGTTTCTATTTTGTTTTGTTTTTTTTTTAGACAGTCTCACTCAGTCACCCAGGATGGAGTGCAGTGGCATGATCTCAGTTCACTGCAACCTCTGCCTCCTGGGTTCAAGTGATTCTTGTGCCACAGCCTCCTGAGTAGCTGGGATTATAGATATGCCCCCCACCACACCTGCATAATTTTTTGTATTTTTTTATTTTTTTTTTTAGTAGAGACGGGCTTTCACCATGTTGGCCAGGCTGGTCTCGAACTCCTAACCTCAGGTGGTCCTCCTCAGCCTCCCAAACTGCTGGGATTACAGGCAAGAGCCACAATGCCCAGCCAATCCATATACCTTTCAAAACTCAGAAGTTTCTAAATAAAAAACATTTTAAACTATTCCAAACACTAAGAAACTTCAATTCCCAGGCCAGGCATGGTGGCTCATGCCTATAATCCCAGCACTTTGGGAGGTCGAGGCAGGTGGATCACCTGAGGCCAGGAGTTTGAGACCAGCCTAGTCAAAATAGTGAACACCTGTCTTTACTAAAAATACAAAAATTAACCGGGTTTGGTGACAGGTGCCTGTAATCCCAGCTACTCAGGAGTCTGAGCCAAGAGAATCACTTGAATCTGGTGGGCAGAGTTTGCAGTGAGCAGAGATCACGCCACTGTACTCCAGCCTGGACAAAAGAGCGAGACTCTGTCTCAGAAAATAAAGAAAAAAAGAGAAACTTCAGTAACTTCAATTCCCTGGCCAGGTGCAGTGGCTCTCGCCTATAATCCCAGCACTTTGGGAAGCCAAGGTGGGTGGATCACATGAGGCCAGGAATTTGAGACCAGCCTGGCCAACATGGTGAAACTCGTCTCTACTAAAAATACAAAAAATTAGCCAGGTGTGGTGGCACACATCTGTAATCCCAGCTACACGGGAGGCTGAGACATTGGAATTGCTTGAACCCGGGTTGGAGGCGGGCAGAGGTTGCAGTAAGCCGAGATCGTGTCACTGCACTCCAGCCTGGGCAACAGAGTAAGACTCTGTCCCTCCCACCAAAAAAAAAAAAAAAAAAAAAAAAAAAAAAAAAAAATTTGCCAGGCATGGTGGCACATGCCTGTGGTCCCAGCTACTTGGGAAGCTGAGGTGGGAAGATTGCTTAAGCCTGGGAGGGCAAGGCTGCAGTGAGCCCTGATCATGCCACTGCACTCCAATTGGGACAAGAGAGTGAGACCCTGTCTCAAAAAAAAAGCACCTTTTGGCTGGGCACGGTGGCTCACGCCTACAATCCCAGCACTTTGGGAGGCTGAGACGGGTGGATCACAAGGTCAAGAGATCGAGACCATCCTGGTCAACATGGTGAAACCCCGTCTCTACTAAAAACACAAAAATTAGCTGGGCATGGTGGCACACGCCTGTAGTCCCAGCTACTCGGGAGGCTGAGGCAGGAGAATTGCTTGAACCCAGGAGGCAGAGGCTGCGGTGAGCCAAGATTGAGCCATTGCACTCCAGCCTGGGTAATAAAAGCGAAACTCCATCTCAAAAAAAAAAAAAAAAAAAAAAAAGCAGCTTTCAGGTCAGGCACAGTGGCTCACACCTTTAATCTCTGTACTTTGTGAGGCTGAGACAGGAAGATCACCTGTGGTCAGGAGTTTGAGACCAGCCTGGCCAACATGGTGAAACTCTGTCTCTACTAAAAATATAAAAGTTAGCTGGCGGCCGGGCGCGGTGGCTCAAGCCTGTAATCCCAGCACTTTGGGAGGCCGAGGCGGGTGGATCACGAGGTCGAGAGATAGAGACCATCCTGGTCAACATGGTGAAACCCCGTCTCTACTAAAAATACAAAAAATTAGCTGGGCATGGTGGCACGTGCCTGTAATCTCAGCTACTCAGGAGGCTGAGGCAGGAGAATTGCCTGAACCCAGGAGGCGGAGGTTGCGGTGAGCCGAGATCGCGCCATTGCACTCCAGCCTGGGTAACAAGAGCAAAACTCCGTCTCAAAAAAAAAAAAAAAAAAAAGTTAGCTGGGCATGGTGGCAATGCCTGTGATCCCAGCTACTCAGGAGCCTGAGGCATGAGCATCACTTGAACCCAAGAGGCAGAGGTTGCAGTGAGCTGAAATTGTGCCACTGCACTCCAGCCTGGGGCAACAGAGTGAAACTGTGTCTCCAAAAAACAAAACAAAACAAACAAAAAAACCCTTTCATTTCCATATTATTCTTTTTTTTCTTGTCTATTGATTTCCAGGTGCTGTAGATTATTTTATATTATTCAACAAATGTAAGCAAATGATCAGGAGATGACAATCAGTTAAAGAGAAAAGGTAGCACCAATATATATAGATAGAACTGTTTTCAAAATATAAATTTGGTAATGATCTACAATTACTAAAATTTCGCATGTGTCAGTTGGCTAAATGATTTTTTTTTTAAAAGAAACAAAAGTAGGCCAGGCACAATGGCTCATACCTGTAATTCTAACATTCTGGGAGGCCACAGTAGGAGGATTGCTTGAGCCCAGTTTGAGACCAGCCTGGGTAACATGGCAAGATCCTGTCTCTACAAAAGATCAAAAAATTAGCTGGGCATGAATGGTCCCAGTTACTTGGGAGGCTGAGACAGAAGGATCGCTTGAGCCCACGAGGTCAATCAAAGCTGGAGGGAGTCATGATTATGACACTACTACACTCTAGCCTGGACACCAGAGGGAGACGCTGTCTCAAAAAAAAAAAAAAAAAAAAAAAGAAGAAACAAAAGAGTAAACATGAGCAATGTACAATTGAAGACCACTAGCATCTTCTCAGGAATTAAGGGAAGTGACAACTTTAAGGATGATTTACAACCCTCTAGATATACTAGATTCATTATGGAATCAGGAAAAATGTGTGCTTATAATCTTTAACCAAAATCAGAGGAACAGACTTAAATTATCATAACTATTCTTCATTACCCTGGTTCAAAATGAAATGACAGAAATCAAGACTTAATGAGTAATTTTTAAAAAACTGTATGTGTTTTTAATGTCACAAGGATTAACCAAATTAGACTATACAAAAATCTGTAAGGAAATGTAACACCAAGCAATATAACACTTTAGTTTTATACTCTAAGAAGACGAACCATCAAAATATAACAGTTTCTGAGTTAAGTTAAAAGTATGTTTATAGTAACTCATCTAGACCACATTTGGGGCAAAAAGGACATTTATGATATCGGGTTGCATGTCTCAATTCTTCAGATCCCATTTTTATATCTAGTCATTTTGTTCTTGTTTGCTTAAAACATACTTCTAAAAAGTAAAAACTTGAAAGCAAAAAGTTCCAATTCTGAGTTTGGTATACAGCAATAAAAACTGTATAAATATCTTCCAATTTCACATGTATGAATTATTTATCTGATTAAATACTCGTACTAGAGTAAAACTTAAGATACTCAACAAGAAATGTTACAATGTGCAGACTTAACATTAAACAATTCAGTTTCTTTCATTTTATTTTTAAGATGACTTCATTTCTCAAGATAGATTGACACAAATACAAGAAGCAGTCTGTAGGCTGAGACCAAGTTTATCTGCTCTCCTAAAAGCACTAGCTCAGCTCCCCCAAAGAATTACAAATCTGAGAAGTTAAGAGGAAAAGTACAGAATAGCGGTTCTGATTAAAGAAGAAAAATCAATTAATGACATTGGTACTCTATTCTTCATGTCAGTAGTGATACAAACTCAACCCTTTTAAATCAGGGAATCTGCCATTCGATTTCTAATGAAGTAGTTTTACAACCCCTAAAGTAAAAGAATTACATGAAGGTGTAAACCAAGTTGCCTCCTTTAGAGACACTGCAATGTAGAAGACGAATTTTCTTTTTTTGTAAGCTTCTTCTCAGTTCTGCAGGCTTCATGGTACTTCAGAGCCCCAGTAATCAAGCAGTTCATGACAAAAGATAAAGGTGAAAAAGTACACACAGAGATCTGTGAAGACTTCGCCCATTTTGCTATAGGTATCCATTGATCGATTGATCACTTCAGCAGGAATACCCGATAATAGAAGTGCAGCTGTTAGTACTGTTGTCTTTACCTTCTTTTCACTCTGTGTAGAGAAAGACTCAAATTAATCTTCAAAGTTTCAGCAGACTACAAAAGCAATATAAAAAAACATGGTCGATACTACTATTTTTACCTAAATGATTTAAAAACCGGTAATGACATTTCAAAACAATCAGTTATATACCAACATTTACCGACCTTATAATACATAAATTGAACTGCTAGGCAATAGTAGACTTCAGTCTTGCTATTAAAAGTTTTTTAAAACTATCATCTTGGAAGCATGACATAAATAACAATTTATGATATATACAACAGTACTACATAAAAACAAGAAAAATATTACTAACAGAACATAAATAACTGCTAAATGACTGACATGGATGATGTGTGACATAGGAACTTACATACCAGTGTTTTATGTAAATAAAGCACAAGGAGGACTTCAGAGGAAGCAGAATTAAAAATAGGCCTTCAAGCCAAGTGTAGTGGCTCACATCTCTAATCCCAGCACTTTGGGAGGCTGAGGCCAGCTGATTGCTTGAACCCAAGAATTTAAGACTACCCTGGGCAACACAGGGAGACTCTGTCTCTATAAAAAAAAAATTAGCTGAGTGTGGTGGCATGCACTTGCAGTCCCACCTACTCAGGAGGCTGAGATGGGAGGATCTCTCAAGAGGTTGAGGCTGCAGTGAACTGAGACTACACCGCTGCATTCCAGACCAGGCAACAAAGTGAGACCCTGTCTCGAAAAACAACTAAAAACAGATCTTCAAAGGAGAGCAGGCTTTAGACTGGCAGAGTGAAAGGAGAAATTTTTTGAAGGGTTAAGTCTCATGACAAGTCAGAGGCAGAAGAAAGCTTAGAGAACAATGAGTAATTTGTAACAGAATTACAGGCACATCATGTAGGGCCTTAATTGCTACGCAAAGGAATTCACACTTGATTACACATGCAATAGAATATCACTGAACAATTCAGTATACTTCTGGGGGAAGAGAGAACATTTACTTAGTAATATAATTTTCTAGTCTCATTTTTTAAGGGATTAAAAGCTGCATTTTTTTTTTTTTTTTTTTGAGACGGAGTTTTCGCTCTTGTTACCCAGGCTGGAGTGCAATGGCGCGATCTCGGCTCACCGCAACCTCTGCCTCCTGGATTCAAGCAGTTCTCCTGCCTCAGCCTCCTGAGTAGCGGGGATTACAGGCACACACCACCATGCCCAGCTAATTTTTTGTATTTTTAGTAGAGACGGGGTTCCACCATGTTGACCAGGATGGTCTCGATCTCTTGACCTCATGATCCACCCGCCTCGGCCTCCCAAAGTGCTGGGATTACAGGCTTGAGCCACCGTGCCCGGCCCATTTTTCTTTAATTTATTGATTTACTATCACAAATCCAATCATATGGTTTAAATTTGTTTTAAACATAAAAACCTATAGTTACCTAAGAGAAATGAAAGCTTATGTTCACAAAAAGCTTGATACAAGAAAACTCTTAGTTTTAGTCATACTAACCCAAAACTGAAAACCACCAAAACGTCCATCTATAGGAGACTAGATAAATGGAGATACTCATACAGTGGAGTATTACTGTGTCAAGAAAAAAAGGAAATTAACTACCGATTTATCTAACAACATGGATAAATCTCAAAAATACTATGCAGAATAGGCTGGGCTTGGTGGCTCACACCTATAATCCCAGCCCTTAGGGAGGCCGAGGTGAGTGGATCATGAAGTCAAGAGACCGAGACCATCCTGGCCAACATGGTGAAATACCCACCTCTACTAAAAATAGAAAAATTCGCTGTGCATGGTGACGTGCACCAGTAGTCCTAGCTACTCAGGAGGCTGAGGCAGGAGAATTGCTTGAACCCAGGAGGCAGACCCTGCAGTGAGCTGACATCATGCCACTGCACTCCAGCCTAGCAGCAGAGCGAGACCGACTCAAAAAAAAATTTTTTTTTTTTTGCCTAAGAAAAAAAAACCTTAAGCAGTAAATTTTAAGTTAATGTTATGCAGGAGGGGTGAGGTATACCAACATGTACACCTACAACATACTTTGAAATGCATCAAGAAAAATTAGATGGATTATCTTGGGTTTGAAAAATAAAAGAAAATCTAATAGATATATAAGATATTAATTGTAGGATCTAGGTGGCAGATATTATATAAATGGGTGTTCATGGCACAATTCTTTCAACTTCTGTGTTTATTTTTTTGTTTTTGTTTTTTTGAGACGGAATCTCACTCTGTCTCCCAGGCTGGAGTGCAGTGGCTCGATCTTGCTCACTGCAACCTTTGCCTCCAGGGCTCAAGTGCTTCTCCTGTCTCAGCCTCTCAAGGAGCCGGGACTACAGGTGTGTGCCACTACTCCCAGCTAACTTTTTGTATTTTTAGTAGAGTTGGTGTTTCACTGCATTAGCCAGGATGGTCTCAATCTCCTGACCTCATAATCCACCCACCTTGGCCTCCCAAAGTACTGGGATTGCAGGTGTGAGCCACTGCACCTGGCTATTTATTTCTTTTTGAGATGGAATTTCACTGTCACCCAGGCTGGAGGGCAGTAGTGCTATCTCAGCTCACTGTAACTTCTGCCACCGGGGTTCAAGAGATTCTCCTGCCTCAGACTCCCAAGTAGCTGAGATTACAGGTCCGCACCACCATGTCCAGCCAATTTTTGTATTTTTAGTAGACATAGGGTTTCACCATGTTGACCAGGCTGGTCAAGAACTTCCAGCCTCAGGCGATCTGCCCACCTGGGCCTTCCAAAGTCTGTAATTACAAGTGTGAGCCACTGTGCCCAGCCAACTTTTGTGTTTAAAACTGCTGTAACAGGCCAGGTGCAGTGGCTCACGCCTGTAATCCCAGGACTTTGGCAGGCCCAGGTAGGCAGATACCTGAGGCTGGGAGTTCAAGACCAGCCTGGCCAACATGGTGAGACCCCATCTCTACTAAAAATGCAAAAATTAGCCGGGCGCGGTGGCTCAAGCCTGTAATCCCAGGACTTTGGGAGGCCGAGGCGGGTGGATCACGAGGTCGAGAGATCGAGACCATCCTGGTCAACATGGTGAAACCCCGTCTCTACTAAAAACACAAAAAAGTAGCTGGGCATGGTGGCGCTTGCCTGTAATCCCAGCTACTCAGGAGGCTGAGGCAGGAGAATTGCTTGAACCTAGGAGGCGGAGGTTGCGGTGAGCCGAGATCGCGCCATTGCACTCCAGCCTGGGTAACAAGAGCGAAACTCCATCTCAAAAAAAAAAAAAAAAAGCAAAAATTAGTTGGGTGTGGTTGCTCACACCTATAGTCCCAGCTACTTGGGAGGCTGAGGCAGGAGAAAAAACCTGGGAGGAGGAGGCTGCAGTAGGCTGAGACTGCAACACTACACTCCAGCCTGGGTGACAGAGTGAGACTCTGTTTCAAAAACAAACAAAACAAGCCAAAAAAACCAAACCCTGCCATAACAAAATGCTGTTTGGTTGGGAGAACATACATATAGTGAATTTTCCCTTTCTCTCTTCTATTTACATAGTACCCATATACATCTCTATCACACACATAAGTATTGTTTATAATTTCATGTATATTCTTTCAGAGATTGCTTATGCATATATAACCTAAATCAAATAATATATTATTTTTTCTTTTCAAAAGTAATAAGTACACTATAAATTCTATTCTGAATTTTGATTTTTTTTCTCTTAATATTTCTTGGAGAGCTTACCATTATTAGTACATTGAGAGCAGCTTCATTCTGAATAGATGTTATAATTTTTTTTTAAATGTAGTCACTCAGTGGACATTTAGGTTCCAAACTTTTGCTACTGTAAAACTACAACTGATGTTTCAAAGGTGAATTTCTTTTTCTTTTTCTTTTTTAAGACGGGGTTTCACCATGTTGGTCAGGTTGGTCTTGAACTCCCGACCTCAGGTGATCTGCCAGCCTTGGCCTCCAAAATGGTTGGATTACAGGCATGAACCACGACGCCCGGCATTTTTTTTTTTTTTTTTTTTTTTTGACAAAGAGTCTTGCTCTGTTGCCCAAGCTGTAGTGCAGCGGTGCAATCTCAGCTCACCACAACCTCCACCTCCCAGGTTCAAGCAATTGTCCTACCTCAGCCTCCCCAGTAGCTGGGACTACAGGTGCGCTAGCACACCCAGCTAATTTTTTGTATTTTTCATAGACATGGGGTTTCACCATGTTAGCCAGGATGGTCTTGATCTCCTGACCTCAGGATCCACCTGCCTTGGCCTCCAAAAATTCTGGGATTACAGATGTGAGCCACCACGCCCAGCCATTTTTTGTACTTTTAGGTGAGGTGGGGTTTCACCATGTTGGCCAGGCTGGTCTCAAATTCCTAACCTCAGGTGATCCACCCACCTTGGCCTCCCAAAGCTTAAGGATTAAAGGTGTGAGCCACCATGGCCGGTCTAAATTTAATACCTTTCTTAAACAAGTACTATTCAAACTCTGTCATGAACGACCTCAATCCACAGTAGACCAATATTTTTGTACAACAGAGTAACAATGTTATGGCAATGTCAAATTGCTATAAAAGTTTCTAATTACTAATTTTTTGAACTTAATGTATCACAAACACAAACACATGGTTTGGAGATAAGTGGGCAAACCACACTTTGAATAGCACCAATTCAGACCATAAATAGGACTAACATTTTTAAGTTCCTTCAATTAGCTAGTCATAAATCAATTCAAATATATCATCAAAATTTAGAAAAAAAATTAATTTACCTTGGGAAAATATTTGTACAATCCCATGTACGCAAGTTGTAAAGTAAGAAATGGAGCAAATATGGACTGTGAAGATAGAAGATTAAAATTAAGTATTTCCAACATAAGCATTTAAAAATCACAATAAATCAAACAGCAGCTATAAAATTCTAAGCCAAAGCTGTAAGAAAATATTATTATTATTATGATTATTATTTTTTGAGACGAAGTTTTCCTCTGTCACCAAGGCTGGAGTGCAATGGTATGATCTTGGTTCACTGCAACCTCTACCTCCCAGGTTCAGGCAATTCTCTTGCCTCAGCCTTCCGAGCAGCTTCAATTACAGTCATCTGTCACCACACCTGGCTAATTTTTGTATTTTTAGTAGAGAAGGGGTTTCACCATGTTGGCCAGGCTGGTCTCAAACTCCTGACCCGATCCACCTACCTTGGCCTCCCAACATGTTGGAATTACAGGCGTGAGCGCCCAGCAATTATTTTTTTTTTTGGGTGTGGCTCTGCTGCCCAGGCTGGAGTGCAGTGGCATGATCTCAGCTCACTGCAACCTCTACCTTCTGGGCTCAAGCCATCCTCCCGCCTCGGCCTCCTATGTGGCTAGAAATACAGGTATGTACCACCTTGTACCACCTTTTTTTTTTTTTTTTTTTTTTGTAGAGATGTGAGTTTCACCATGTTGCCCAGGCTGGTCTCTTGTCTCAAACTCCTGAGCTCAAGGAATCTGCCTGACTTGGCCTCCCAAAGTGCTGGGATTACAGGCATGAGCCACCATCCTTGGCCTAGAATATTAATTTTAACGGTTAAAATTAATCTTGTGTATGCAAAATGGTGAAGAAAATAAGATATTTGATTTCCTAACATAAAATATGTTTCTCAATTCTTTCATATGCTTTCAGTGTCCCCAAAACTGCCTTCTCTCATAAAAACTTACCTTATAAATTATTTAAAGTAATGGCTGGGTTTGGTGGCTCATGCCTGTAATCCCAGCAATTTGGGAGGCCGAGGCAGGCAGATCACAAGGTCAGGAGTTTGAGACCAGCCTGGCCAACATGGTGAAACCCCATCTCTACTAAAAACACAAAAATTAGCTGGCTGTGGTTAATGTGTGCCTATAATCCCAGCTACTTGGGAGGCTGAGGCAGGAGAATCGCTTGAACCCAGGAGGTGGAGGTTGCAGTGAGCCGAGATCACGCCACTTGCATGCCAGCCTGGACAACAGAGCAAGACTCTGTCTCAAAAAAAAAAAAAAAAGTATTGCCAGGCACGGTGGCTCAAGCCTGTAATCCCAGCACTTTTGGGAGGCTGAGGCGGGTGGATCACGAGGTCAAGAGATTGAGACCATCCTGGTCAACATGGTGAAACCCCGTCTCTACCAAAAATACAAAAAATTAGCTGGGCATGGTGGCGCGTGCCTGTAATCCCAGCTACTCAGGAGGCTGAGGCAGGTGAATTGCCTGAACCCAGGAGACGAAGGTTGCGATGAGCCGAGATCGCGCCATTGCACTCCAGCCTGGGTAACAAGAGCAAAACTCCATCTCGAAAAAAAAAAAAAAAAAAAGGCCGGGCGCGGTGGCTCAAGCCTGTAATCCCAGCACTTTGGGAGGCCGAGGCGGGTGGATCACAAGGTCAAGAGATCGAGACCAACCTGGTCAACATGGTGAAACCCCATCTCTACTAAAAATATACAAAAAATAAGCTGGGCATGGTGGCGCGTGCCTGTAATCCCAGCTACTCAGGAGGCTGAGGCAGGAGAATTGCCTGAACCCAGGAGGCGGAGGTTGCGGTGAGCCGAGATCGCGCCATTGCACTCCAGCCTGGGTAACAAGAGCGAAACTCCGTCTCAAAAAACAAAACAAAACAAAAAAAAGTATTAAATGACAGATGTTTAACACATTATGCAGTGATATCTCCCTCACCCAGAGGAAATTAAATGACGTCCAGCAAGCACACATAAAAGGCCTAGCACTCAAAATAGATGCCATTATTCCAGCTACTCGGAAGGCTGAGGCAGGAGGATTGCTTGAGCCCAGAAGTTCTAGTCCAGCCTGGGCACCAGAGCAAGACTCTATCTCTAAAACAACAACAAGAAGAAAACTAAACTAAATGCTACTCATTCCTTAGACTTCAGGGTGGGGAATGAACTCATAGAGTTACCATCCCTGATTCTCCCATGGCAAGCTATTCTTATTAGAGATAAAATGGCTGGGTGAACAAAATAGAAATAGAAAAGATCAAAACAACATTCACATAATTCCTTTTTTTTTTTTAAGGCAAAGTCTCACTCTGTCACCCAGGGTAGAATGCAGTAGCATAATCTTGGCTCACTGCAACCACCACCTCCTGGGTTCAAGCAATTCTACTGTCTCAGCCTCCCGAGTAGGAGGGACTACAGGCACCCGCCACCATACCCGGCTAATTTTTCTATGTCTAGCAGAGACGGGTTTCACCACATTGGTCAGGCTGGTCTTGAACTCCTGACTTCAGGTGATCCACTCACCTTGGCCTCCCAAAGTGCTGAGATTATAGTCATGAGCCACTGCACCCAGCCACCACATAATTACTTTTAAATGAAAACTATTAAGAAGGGAGCGCGGTAGTAAACATTACTAGAATGCAGTACAGTGAGAGCAGCAAGAAACAGTGGAAAATCTGAGAGTGAAAAAAATATAAAATCAAAACAAAAAACTCACACAAAAATAGGACATAACCTTAAAAGCATGAAAGCACAGAGTGCTTCGGATAGAGACAAAAAAGAACTAGGCAGCCCACTGAATGCTGAAAGCATCACTGATCTTTGCATTACAGCAAACTATAATGACAAGTTATCATCAGTGAAAAACATATCAAATCTGTTTAACAGATTCTATTTATGAAAACATTTGCATAAAAATAGATTTAAAAAATTGTTTTGCTTAGTCATATAAATTTTAATTATCCGGATAATTTATTTATGTGCCTGGTACATATGCTTAAAATGTCTACTGAATGGAAAAACCTTAGAGCAAGACACCGAACTGTGACCTATGCTTTTCTGCATTCTCCAACATACTAGAAAACAAAATGACCACATCATGGTACAACCAAAATGCATGTCATTATGATACTACATTAGGAAATGCTGAAATGTCTTCTGAACATAGGAAAATTACCTCATATTCAAGACCACAGGAACTGCATTTTCCTACTGCAAATTATTTGAAATTTATACATATGGCACTTAACCCTTTGGTTAAGGAATGAAACTGCCTGGGTTTAATCCCAGCATCACTTAGTAACTGTGTGACCTTGGGCAAATGATTAAACCTCTTTGAGTCTTCATTTACCAATTCATTCAAATAATACCAAGTTCGTAAGAATGAGGATTAGATGAATCAATATATGCAAAGCCATTAGCATGTAAAAAGGGTTTCAGTACAGTCACCCTCAGTATCTGGGAAGAACTGGTACCAGGTTCCTCCAAATACCAAAATCTATAGATGCTCAAGTCCCTTATGTAAAATAGCACAATATTTGCATGTAACCTACTCATTTCTAGACTTTTTGATGCCTAATACAATGTAAATAGTTGTTATGCTGTATTTTTTATTTGTATTATTTATTACTTGTTATTGTTGTATTGTTATTTTTTTTCCCATATAGATATAGATTTTTTTTTTTTTTGAGACAGGGTCTCACTCTGTTGCCCAGGCTGGAGTGCAGTGGCATCATCCTGGCTCAATGCAACCTCTACCTTCCGGGTTCAAGCAACTCTCCTGGCTCAGCCTTCTGCGTAACTGAGATTACAGGCGCGCCACCACGCCCAACTAAACCCAGTATGTTCGATCCAGTTGGTTGAATTCACATATGCTGCAGAACCAGCATTACAGAACCCATTGATATGGAGGGCCAACAGTAATTATTAGGCTCTGTATCTATGCAGAACACCTCATTCTGTAAGACGAACAGCAAAGTTAATAATACATGTTCAAACAGCCACATGGATCTAGTAGATATTAATACTGGCGATGACTTCTATGGATAAAAAGCACTCATAAACATTTTGCATTTTCCATTAAGTTAGTTAATAATTTATAGATCTTTTCTTACCAAGTATTTGCAAACAAAAGCTCTGACTCCAAGAGCAAGGAGAGCACATCCCACCAATCTAAATATTCGAAAAGAGTCAAATTCTTCTGTTGTACTTCCATCCTCTTGGTTGGGTTTTTCACTAATCAGCTGTTTCCTTAGCTTCATTGCTTCTTCGAATCTGGAAAGGTACTGCTCTAGGCCATGGCGAGAACCCCTCTGGACTGTGTCCGCTGTCAGGTCCCCTCTGTTCCGCTGCCGGAGCTCAAGGTTGACATCATTACTGCACTCAGGTGGTTTAATGAAAGAGTCCAATTTGTCTCCCAGCTGGTTCCCCTTTACCTCGGCCATGGCACCCTGCTGGTCAGTAGCTCCTGTACTGACCGAATCACCCAGCACCACTCGCTTTGACACTGAAGGAATGCTGAGGGAGTTCAGTTTGTCACTGTCCTGCTGCTTTGATTTTGTTTGACTTTCTTCTTCTGACAAAAGAAAGTTAAAAGCCTTATTTATTCCATACTGGCAAATGCCTTACATGTTTGTATTTTAAAATATGCTGCTTCAGCTAGAATTCAGCAGTCTCTGAATCAAAATAAATAAATACTGAGTCTGCATTAAAAGCAGCTTGTTTCTTCCTCTACATCCTCAAAATGTATCACCCAAAAAGAATGTTCTGCAGAGGAAATAACTCACTTTGTGGGTAGAAGATTGGTAGACAAACTGGGAAAGATATTCAGAGATGGAGCAAACTGAAAAGACCAACTTTTTATGGATAATATATCCCAGACGTATAATTGCATTGTCTGCCTTAGGTTAGTTGGTTAAAAATATAAAATCAGTAAGCAGGGTGCAGTGGCTCACGCCTGTAATCCCAGAACTTTGAGAAGCCAAGGGGAGCAGATCACAAGGTCAGGAGTCCAAGACCAGCCTGACCAACATGGTGAAACCCCATCTCACTAAAAACACAAAAATTAGCCAGGCGTGGTGGCGCCTGCCTGTAGTCCCAGCTACTCGGGAGGTTGAGGCAGGAGAACCCCTTGAACCCAGGAGGTGGAGGTTGCAGTGAGCTCCGATGGCACCACTGCACTCCAGCCTGGCGACAGAGCAAAACTCCAACTCCAAAAAAAAAAAAAAAATTATATACACACACACACATACACACACACACACACACAAATTAGTAAAGCCTTTTAAAATCTCTATTTTAAAATTAGATTTCTGAATCCCATGCCCTATGACCATAGGGTGTGGCATATCCCACAACTACTGTTTGTGTAGTCAGGCAGCCATTAGTAGCTACTTCAGCAGTTTTTTTTTTTTCTTGAGACGGAGTTTCGCTCTTGTTACCCAGGTTGGAGTACAATGGCGCGATCTCTCACCGCAACCTCTGCCTCCTGGGTTCAGGCAATTCTCCTGCCTCAGCCTCCTGAGTAGCTGGGATTACAGGCACGTGCCACCATGCCCAGCTAATTTTTTGCATTTTTAGTAGAGACGGGGTTTCACCATGTTGACCAGGTTGGTCTCAATCTCTCGACCTCGTGATCCACCCGCCTCGGCCTCCCAAAGTGCTGGGATTACAGGCTTGAGCCACTGCACCCGGCCTTACTTCAGCAGTTTTAAGATGCTGTTCTGGTGTTGGTTTTTTCTTTTTTTAAGAGGGGCTGGGCACAGTGGCTCACACCTGTAATCCCAGCATTTTGGGAGGCCAAGGAGGGCAGCTCAGGTCAGGAGCTTAAGACCAGCCTGGCCGGCCGGGCGCGGTGGCTCAAGCCTGTAATCCCAGCACTTTAGGAGGCCGAGGCGGGTGGATCACGAGCTCAAGAGATCGAGACCATCCTGGTCAACATGGTGAAACCCCATCTCTACTAAAAATACAAAAAATTAGCTGGGCATGGTGGCACGTGCCTGTAATCCCAGCTACTCAGGAGGCTGAGGCAGGAGAATTGCTTGAACCCAGGAGGCGGAGGTTGCGGTGAGCCGAGATCGTGCCATTGCACTCCAGCCTGGGTAACAAGAGTGAAACGCCGTCTCAAAAAAAAAAAAAAAAAAAAAAAAAAAGACCAGCCTGGCCAACATGGCGAAACCCTGTCTCTATTAAAAATACAAAAAAATGGCCGGGCACGGTGGCTCAAGCCTGTAATCCCAGCACTTTGGGAGGCCGAGGCGGGTGGATCACAAGGTCAAGAGATCGAGACCATCCTGGTCAACATGGCGAAACCCCGTCTCTACTAAAAATACAAAAAATTAGCTGGGCGTGGTGGCGCGTGCCTGTAATCCCAGCTACTCAGGAGGCTGAGGCAGGAGAATTGCCTGAACCCAGGAGGCGGAGGTTGCGGTGAGCCGAGATCGCGCCATTGCACTCCAGCCTGGGTAACAAGAGCGAAACTCCGTCTCAAAAAAAAAAAAAAAAACAAAAAACAAAAAAATCTGCCAGGCGTAGTGACTCATGCCTGTAATCCTAGCACTTTGGGAGGCCGAGGTGGGTGGATCACCCGAGGTCAGGAGTTCAAGACCAGCCTGGCCATCAGGGTGAAACCCCATCTTAAAAAAAAAAAAAAAAAAAAAATCAGTAGCTAGGATTATGTCTGTAGTCCCAGCTACTCAGGAGGCTGAGACAGAATTGCTTGAACCCAGGAGGTGGAGGTTGCAGTGAGCTGAGATCATGCCACTGCACTCCAGCCTGGGCGACAGAGTGAGAGACCTTCTCGGAGGAAAAAAAAAAGTCCAGGCACAATGGCTCTCTCCTGCAATCCTGTAATCCCAGCACTTTTGGAAGCCAAGGCTGGTGGAATCACTTGAGCCCCGAAGTTCAAGACCAGCTTAGGCAACATGGTGAGACGCCATCTCTACGAAAAAGAAATATTTTTAAATTACCCAGGCATGGTGGTGTTCGCCTGTGGTCCTAGCTACTCCGGAGGCTGAAGTAGCAGGATTGCTTAAGCCCAGGAGTTTGAGGCTGCAGTGAGCTATGATCATGCCACTGCACTCCAGCCTGGACTACAGAGAGAAATCCTGTCTCAAAAAACAAAACAACTGGCCGGGCGCGGTGGCTCAAGCCTGTAATCCCAGCACTTTGGGAGGCCGAGGCAGGTGGATCACGAGGTCGAGGGATCGAGACCATCCTGGTCAACATGGTGAAACCCCGTCTCTACTAAAAATGCAAAAAATTAGCTGGGCATGGTGGCACGTGCCTGTAATCCCAGCTACTCAGGAGGCTGAGGCAGGAGAATTGCTTGAACCCAGGAGGCGGAGGTTGCGGTGAGCCGAGATCGTGCTAATAAATAAATAAATAAATAATCCTTCAAGAAAGAATAATAGCCTGATAGAATTTCTTCTATTGTTCTAGATTAATTTGAAATGGTTTTCTTACCTCTCATTTAAATCATCTAAAAGTTCGTAGCTATACACCCAAAGCCTTACAGAACAAAAGTCGCAAGCATATAAGGAGCTTGCGACCAGTGACTAATGCCCAATTCCTAAAGAAAACAATGGAAACTTAGATAACACTAGGGCATGCTAATTGTTCAATTATACACACATGAAATAAAATTTTTTGGCCGGGCGCGGTGGCTCAAGCCTGTAATCCCAGCACTTTGGGAGGCTGAGGCGGGTGGATCACGAGGTCAAGAGATCGAGACCATCCTGGTCAACATGGTGAAACCCCGTCTCTACTAAAAATACAAAAAATTAGCTGGGCATGGTGGCGCGTGCCTGTAATCCCAGCTACTCGGGAGACTGAGGCAGGAGAATTGTCTGAACCCGGGAGGCGGAGGTTGCGGTGAGCCGAGATCGTGCCATTGCACTCCAGCCTGGGTAACAAGAGCGAAACTCCGTCTCAAAAAAAAAAAAATTTTTTTAAGGAAAATCATTGGACATGTGTTTGGGGGAGGAATGACGCGCTCTCCTTTAGAAATGTAGTTCCGAGGCCGGGCGCGGTGGCTCATGCCTGTAATCCCAGCACTTTGGAAGGCCGAGGCGGGTGGATCACGAGGTCAAGAAATCGAGACCAACCTGGTCAACATGGTGAAACCACGTCTGTACTAAAAATATAAAAAATTAGCTGGGCGTGGTGGCGCGTGCCTGTAATCCCAGCTACTCGGGAGGCTGAGGCAGGAGAATTGCCTGAACCCAGGAGGCGGAGGTTGCAGCGAGCCGAGACAGTGCCATTGTACTCCAGCCTGGGTAACAGGAGCGAAACTCCGTCTCCAAAAAAAAAAAAAAAAAAAAAAATGTAGTTCCGGGCTGCGAGGGGTGGCTCACGCCTATAATCCCAGCACTTTGGAAGGCTGAGGTGGGTGGATCATGAGGTCAGGAGCTTGAGAACAGACTGGCCAATATGGTGAAACCCGGTCTCTACTAAAAATACAAAAAATTAGATGGGCGTGTGCCTGTAGTCCCAGCTGCTCAGGAGGCTGAGCCAGGAGAATCGCTTGAACCTGGGAGGCAGAAGTTGCAGTAAGCCGAGATCGCGCCAGAGCAAGACTCCGTCCCCCCCCCCCCCCCCAAAAGCAAGCAAACAAGAAAGAAATGCAGTTCCAGACACCAATCACACCAATCTCAGCTGATGAGGACAGGAAACCTCAAGTGTGCACGTCGCACTTGCTGGGTCTCTGAAGAATGCTCACCCTCACTTTCCCCACCTTTTCTAGCCGGCCTGTGTAAGTGATAGTGTTGAGGGCACCGAACACAGACACTAGGATATGACCACAAGAGTCCCTGATACACGTAGGATGGACTAGCGGGCAGTTCAGTGAAGACAAGCTGATGTAGGCAGACAAGAATTACACAGCAAAAGGCAAAAGAAGGGAACGCTAGAGAAGGCACCGTGAGGAAAAGCACTTGGAACCTTAAGAAGGAAAGCCACCTTCTTAAGGGGAGCAGTGGGCACAGCAGTCTGAGGATCAAACGTGCGCCCTTCAGGAAAGGCGAGGGGTGGCTAAAGAAGGAAGGAGTTGCTGTGAAGGTAACTGGGCAGAGGGAGCCTGGGCTCTGCAGGCAGGGTGGGGAAAATCTCACGGCCAGGCCCCGGGACAACTGCGGGGAGCGACCGGGAACGTCCTGGGGTTCAGGAGTGAGAACCTGGGATACTCACCGAAGGGGCGGGACAGAAAGGAGGTCAGAGAGCGGGGCTTGGTCAAAAAGGTCAGTGGAGTGGAGATGGGGAGGCAAGAATGGCCCTGAGGATTTACGGGGATGGGCGGGAGACTGAGGGGAAGCCGAGGCTCTCACCGGCGCCGCCGGGCCTGTGAAAGCCCATGATCCGGTTGATGCGTTGCTCCGAGTTCATGAGCAGCTTTCTCCGACGCAGCTCGGCCCGACGCTGGGAAGCCGACAGGCCTGAGCCCGCTGGGACCCCCGGCCTGTCCCCATCGTCGGTAGCGACGGCTATCGACTCCATCCTCCCGTCCAGTCTGGGAGGGGTGGCACTGGCGGTGCTGTTGGCAGCAGCGGCGAGGCCGATGACTAGAGACTGGGCCGCAGGGCGCGCGTACCGTCTCCCAAGATAGACCCGCCCCCGAGCGCGGTGCCCGAGCCTGCGAGCTAAGCACGCACGCGCCGCCCCGCGCTATCGAGCGCGAGGCGATGGCCGCCATCTTGAGTGAGGGCAGCGCGGCACGCCCTGGTCCCTCCCCGCCTCGTCTTGCCCTCACCCAACAGCTCCCTCTGCTGTTCACTCGGAGGTGAAGAAAACAGGCACCCAGGGCCGGGCGCGGTGGCTGACGCCTGTAATCCCAGCATTTAGGGAAGCCGAGGCGGGCGGATTACGAGGTCGGGAGTTTGAGACCAGCCTGGCCAACATGGTGAAACTCTGTCTTTATTTAAAATACAAAAAAATTGGGCCGGGCGCCGTGGCTCAAGCCTGTAATCCCAGCACTTTGGGAGGCCGAGGCGGGTGGATCACGAGGTCGAGAAATCGAGACCATCCTGGTCAACATGGTGAAACCCCGTCTCTACTAAAAATATATTTTAAAAAATTAGCTGGGCATGGTGGCACGTGCCTGTAATCCCAGCTACTTAGGAGGCTGAGGCAGGAGAATTGCCTGAACCCAGGAGGCGGAGGTTGCGGTGAGCTGAGATTGTGCCATTGCACTCCAGCCTGGGTAACAAGAGCGAAACTCCGGCTCAAAAAAAAAAAAAAAAAAATTGGCCAGGCGTGGTGGCGCACCTACAGCCCCAGCTACTCAGGAGGCTGAGGCAGGAGAATTGCTTAAACCCAGGAGGTGGAGGTTGCAGTGAGCCGAGATCGCGCCACTACACTCCAGCCTGGCGCCTAAGACAGAGCAAGACTCTGTCTCAAAATAATAATAATCATAATAATAATAATTTTTTTTTTTTTGAGACAGAGTTTCACTTTTGTTACCCAGGCTGGAGTGCAATGGCGCGATCTCGGTTCACCACAACCTCCGCCTCCTGGGTTCAGGCAATTCTTCTGCCTCAGCCCCCTGAGTAGCTGGGATTACAGGCACGTGCCACCATGCCCAGCTAATTTTTTTTTTTGTATTTTTAGTAGAGACGGGGTTTCACCATGTTGACCAGGATGGTCTCGATCTCTTGACCTCGTGATCCACCCGTCTCGGCCTCCCAAAGTGCTGGGATTACAGGCTTGAGCCACCACCGCGCCCGGCTTTTTTTTTTTTTTTTTTTTTTTTTTTTTTTTTTTTTTGAGATGGAGTCACGCTCTTGTTACCCAGGCTGGAGCGCAATGGCGCGATCTCGGCCCACCGCAACCTCCGCCTCCTGGGTTCAGGCAACTCTCCTGCCTCAGCCTCCCTAGTAGCTGGGATTACAGGCACGTGCCACCATGCCCAGCTAATTTTTTTTTTTTTTTTGGTATTTTTTTTTAGTAGAGACGGAGTTTCACCATGTTGACCAGGATGGTCTCGATCTCTTGACCTCATGATCCACTCGCCTCGTCCTCCCAAAGTGCTGGGATTACAGGCATGAGCCACCGCGTCCGGCAATAATAATAATTTTAAAGTATTAGAGGAATTTATTCTGCATATCTGCACAGAGATTGATCTCTGAGTCCTAGGCTATTCCTTAAAAAAATTTTATAGACAATTGAAAATAATCAAAATAACTATCAAATAGTAACAAATGTGCAGAATTTGATGAGGCACAGCCCTGATCAATCAACCTTTTCCAGAAAGGGTTTGAGGAGCTAAATGAGAATTATAGTGTTAGATTCAATGATATTAAGCATCAAGCAAATTCTTTCCAAGCAATATTTCATTCCTGCTTGAAACTGAGGAAGTCTTATAACTGAACTTGGACAGAATTATAGAAAACCAATTGGCTGGCATTTGGGAGGTCCAGGTGGGAGGATTACTTACAGCAAGGAGTTCAAGACTGACCTGGGCAACATAGTGAGACACCCTTCTTTATTTAAAAGCAAAGAGGCTGGGAGGCCGGGCACAGTGGCTCACGCCTGTAATCCAAGCACTTCAGGAGGCCGAGGCATGTGGATCACTTGAGGTCAGTTCAAAACCAGCCTGGCCAACATGGTGAAACCCCGTTTCTACTAAAAATACAAAAATTAGCTGGGCATGGTGGTGCACACCTGTAATCCCAGCTACTCAGAGGCTGAGGCAGGAGACTCACTTGAACCTAGGAGGCAGAGGCTGCCGTGAGCTGAGATTACATCTCTGCACTCTAGCCTGGGCAACAGAGCAAGACTCTGACTCAAAAAACAAAACAAAACAAAAAAGAGGCAGGGATGGTGGCTCATGCCCAACACTTTGGGAGGTGAAAGTGGGAGGATCACTTAAGCCCAGGAGTTCAAGACATAGTGAGACCTCATCTCTAGAAAAAAAATTAAACAAACAAACAAACAAACAAACAAAAAAACGAGGCAGGAAGCTCGCTGCAATGAGCCATGATCGCATCACCCCACGACCACCTGGGTGATAGAGCCAGACCCTGTCTCAAAAGAAAGAAAGAATGTAAAAGAATGAATTGATGAAACTGCTCAAAAGAAATTCAAGAAAAATCTACAGAAATTAGCAAATTATTTCCTCTAAATTCCAAAATGAATCAAATTTTTATTTTTATAGAGAAAGGGTCTCACTCTATGGCCTAGACTGGGGTGCAAGGGCACAATCAGTACACTGCAGCCTACAGCCTTGAACTCCTGGACTCAAGCAATCCTCCTGCTTCTGTCTCCTGAGTAGCTAAAACTACAGGATTGAGCCCTGATAAATTTTTTAAAATATATTTTTTTGTAACGATAGGGTCTCTATGTTGCCCAGGCTGGTCTTAAATTCCTGGCCTCAAACAGTCCTCTCTCCTCAGCCTCCCGAAGTGCTGGGATTACAGGTGTTAGCCACTGTACCCAGCCTATATTATTTATTTATTTATTTATTTATTGAGATGGGAGTCTTGCTCTGTCACCCAGGCTGGAGTGCAGTGGTGAGATCTTGGCTCACCACAACCCCCACCTCCCAGGTTCAAGCCATTCTCCTGCCTCAGCCTCCTGAGTAGCTGGGACTACAGGTACATGCAATCACACCCCGCTAATTTTTGTATTTTTAGTAAAGACCGAGTTTCACCATCTTGGCCAGGCTGGTCTTGAACTCCTGACCTTGTGATCTACCCACCTCAGCCTCCCAAAGTGCTGGGATTACAGGCATGAGCCACCGTGCCTGGCCAGAAATTTTATTTCAATAATTTTCTCAAGTATAATTGTTAAACATCCTTAAACACTCAAAGTTTAAAAGAAACAGAGTGAATTAAGTTTCAATAGGAGACATGTCAATTGTCCTCTCGTTAATGAGATTAGAGCTTAATATAACAAACTGAAAGCCAAGTAATGAACCTCTTGAAATAAACGTTATTTTAGATGGTACTGAGTATTTTGTTTTGCAGTATTTATTTATTTATTCTGTCACCCAGGCTGGAGTGCAATGGTGCGGCTTACTGCAACCTCAGCCTTCTGGGTCCAAGTGATTCTCATGCCTCAGCTCCGGAGTAGCTGAGATTACAGGAGTGTGCCACCACACTTAGCTAATCTTTGTGTATATATATATATATATATATATATATATATATATATATACACACACATATATATATATATATATATATATTTTTTTTTTTTTTTTTTTTTTGAGACGGAGTTTCGCTCTTGTTACCCAGGCTGGAGTGCAATGGCGCAATCTCGGCTCACCGCAACCTCCGCCTCCTGGGTTCAGGCAATTCTCCTGCCTCAGCCTCCTGAGTAGCTGGGATTACAGGCACGCGCCACCATGCCCAGCTAGTTTTTTGTATTTTTAGTAGAGACGGGGTTTCACCATGTTGACCGGGATGGTCTCTTACTCTCGACCTCGTGATCCACCCACCTCGGCCTCCCAAAGTGCTGGGATTACAGCCTTGAGCCACCGCGCCCGGCTAATCTTTGTATATTTAGCAGAGATGGGTTTTCGCCATGTTGGCCAGGCTGGTCTCCGACTCCTGACCTCAGGTGATCCACCTGCCTCAACCTCCCAAAGTGCTGGGATTACAGGTGTGAACCACTGACCCGGGCCTATATTAACTTTTATTTATTTATTTTTAAGATGGAGTTTTGCTCTTGTTACCTAGGCTGGAGTGCAGTGGCGCGATCTTGGCTCACCGCAACCTCCGCCTCCTGGGTTCAGGCAATTCTCCTGCCTCAGCCTCCTGAGTAGCTGGGATTACAGGCACGTGCCACCATGCCCAGCTAATTTTTTGTATTTTTGGTAGAGACGGGGTTTCACCATGTTGACCAGGATGGTCTTGATCTCTTGACCTCGTGATCCACCCACCTCAGCCTCCCAAAGTGCTGGGATTACAGGCGTGGGCCACCGTGCCTGGCCTTTATATTAACTTTTAATATGGTTTATAAACAATATAAAACAAGCCGGGCATGGTGGCACGTGCCTGTAGCCCCAACTACTTGGGAGGCTGAGGCACTGGAATCTCTTGAACCCAGGAAGCAGAGGTTGCAGTGAGACGATATCCAATTATTGCACTCCAGCCAGGGTGACAGAGGTACACTCCGTCTCAAAACAACAAAAAAAGAGTTCATATAAATGTGTGGATGTTGTGGGTTGAGAAAAATCATTTGGCTCCTTGGATGTTACTCTCCAAGGTTACTCCAGAGTGACCCTGATGAGGATTTCTGCTACTGTAGGAGAATGGCAGTTTAAGGTTTCCGGCCTCCCTTACCCCTCAGGCAGTCTCCATGCTTTTTTTCCTTCTTTGAGACAGAGTCTCCGTCTGTTGTCCAGGCTGGAGTGCAGTGGCTTGAAGAGGGCTCACTGCAGCCTTGATTTCCCAGGCTCAAGTGATCCTCTCACCTAGCCTCCCAGGTGGCTGAGATCACAGGCACATGCCACCACACCTGACTATTTATTTTCAACTTATTTTTATTTTTTTATTTTTATTTTATTTTATTTTTTTTGAGACGGAGTCTCCCTCTGTCGCCCAGCTGAGGCTAAAGTGCAGTGGTGCAATCTTGGCTCACTGCAACCTCCGCCTCCCAGGTTCAAGCGATTCTCCTGCCTCAGCCTCCC